CGACAATAAAAAAGTCCTTATGAGTTTTTGCTGATTTCTTTTTACAAAATTATCACATATAACTACTGTTAACAATAAAGTAGGCTTTTACAGCAAAGTACATCTGAAATTATTTATAAAGCTACTAAATAGTTAAAGTATGAAAACTCAAAAACACCATTGAATATGATACAAAGTATTATCGCGCGCTAACTTTTCTTAAGACATTCAAAATGGCTGACATGACTGAGCTAGCAGGTCCAAAACCTAATCAGATCTAGAATGAAGTGAGCTGAACAAGATGTTAAAGTTTTAAATGCAACTGTGAAGCAGTTTTTCTTAAAGTTTGCAGACAAGGATTTTAGCATTTGACTTCAAAATGGCCGACAGGAAGTAGGTTTCGAGTTAAATTTTTTTCATCCACATCTATAGGCACTCATAAGTTATTCCTGAAAATTAGAAGGTGATACCTGTAGCGGTTTTGGAGAAAACTGCCGGACGTACGGACGGACGGACGGACGGACAGACAGACAACCAGACAGACAGACAGACGGACGGACGGACGGACGCGCCTAGGACGACAATATGGCCCCACACTATGTGGTGGGGACATAAAAAGGATATGATAGGATAGGATAGGAAGGATAGGAAGGAAAAGATACGAAGGAAGGATAGATAGGAAGGATAGGATAGGATCAGATAGGAAGGATGGATGAATTTTTCAATATTTTCTTCTCTACTCTTGACTTTCTATCAGGATACCATCAGATTGAGTTCTCCGAAATTTCAAAATGCCATAACTTCCGAACTGAAAGTCGGATCGAAATTTGATTTGAAGATTCGGATTCCTGACAAAATTCTACCCCTAATTCATAACTCATACGTTAAATTTGGAGAACTTTTCATTTTGACCTACTTTTCCGTTACCATATCTCAAAAGCGGGTCAAAATACTTTCTGACGGCAAAAGGCTAACGCTATTAGCACACTCTTGGCTACATGTATACACAATTTCGAAGAATATTATTGAAGTGTAGTGTCAGAATCGCAAAAATAAGAAAAACCTTTGAATTTGACCTAGATTTTGACCTAGGCATTTTTGGTGTCAAAATTTTGAAGCTAGATGGCTTTTGAGGTCCCCTTCTTTTTAAGGCTTTCATTAAATTAAGCTGAACTCAGTCTACATTTCGTATTTTTCACTCCAAAAAAATCCTTTTTCCCATTGACTTAACATGGGCACCAAATTTAGCGATTTTTGAACTTTTAAAACGACATAACTTCTGAACCGGGAGTCGGATCGAAATTTGGTTTGCAGATTCGGATTCCTGACAAAATTCTACCCCTAATTCATAACTCATACTCTGAATTTGGAGAACTTTTGTTTTGACCTACTTTCTGGACGCCATATTTCAAAATCGGTAAGAGTAATTAAAAAAAAACAGGGACACTTATGAAAGGGCTTTTTCTAAGCTACATGATGAAAAAAAGACGAAGACGTTTCGATAAATAACGACGAAGATAATTGATAGAATGTTGAAAATGTAAGATTTGACCTAGTTCTTGACCTTTGACCTAGATAAAAAATTGACCCAATTTCCGAGAAACTAGATACTGGACCTAAATTGACCATATACAGGACTTGACTCAATGTCTTCTAGTTAAGGAGAAAACGTGTTAAGAAAAATAATAATAATAAAGAAGAATAATGACGAAAGTAATAGACTCCAGATTTACATCTGGAGTCTAATAATAAAGAAGAAGAATACTGGCAAAAACAATAGACTCCAGATTGATATCTGGAGTCTAATAAGAATACTGGCAAAAACAATAGACTCCAGATTGACATCTGGAGTCTAATAAAGAGTACATGTTAGTCTCAGAGAGTTCATACATTATTAATTTCTCATAAGCCTACTTATTGATGTTTATATGACATGACATCACTTTCTATTTATTATTTATTTTAAATGTAAAATGTGCTGTAATGTTGTGGTTGCCATGACATTACTGCAAAAAATGCATGTATGATCTAGCGCGTATCTAGGGTATCTAAGTAGAGAATTCTTAATACTTAATAATAGGGTCCCACCTAGTCAAAACCATAAATATACTTTTGTTCAAACTAGAGGAAAGTAAATAAAATTTGGAACTCCATCATATTCATTAGCATCTACAATGTATGTCTTGTAGAACTACATGTACTACTCATATTCAAACTTATTGATCAGCCTTATTCCATAAAAAATGCTGTTCATGAACAATCGGTTAAATCTAGAAAAAACATAAAACCAAAAAAAGAAAATCTAACTACTCAACTGGAACAATTTTTTCACATCAATTTCAACTGAACAGTCAGAATTATTTAACACGCAGATCTTCCCAGATCTTATGATTCAGAATTATTTAACATATAGATCTTATGATTCAGAATTATTTAACATGTAGATCTTATGATTCAGAATTATTTAACATGCAGATCTTATGATTCAGAATTATTTAACATGTAGATCTTATGATTCAGAATTATTTAACATGCAGATCTTATGATTCAGAATTATTTAACATGCAGATCTTATGATTCAGAATTATTCAATACGCAGATCTTATGATTCAGAATCAATTAACATGCAGATCTTATGATTCAGAATTATTTAACATGCAGATCTTATGATTCAGAATTATTTAACATGCAGATCTTATGATTCAGAATTATTTAACACGCAGATCTTATGATTCAGAATTATTTAACATGCAGATCTCATGTTTCAGAATTATTTAACACGCAGATCTTATGATTCAGAATTATTTAACATGCAGATCTTATGATTCAGAATTATTTAACATGCAGATCTCATGTTTCAGAATTATTTAACATGCAGATCTTATGATTCAATATAAAAGCAATTAACTGAATACATTTTTCATGATATTACAATGGAGATAACAAAATATTGACAATACAAAGATACATTCAATATATCAAAATGGAAACACATATAAACTGAGCCAAAAAAACTACACAAAATGAAGTACATGAATTAAAAAATAAATGTAAATTAAAGTATATCATTACAGATAAAGGTCAGTTTAACAAAAAAACAGATAATGTATCCATTTAAAATGGATTGTCATGATATGCATTGTCATTATGCATATATGCACCACCTGTTGTTTTGTACATGTAGCTAGATGTACAGTATGTAATAAGTTATTTCCATGCAATATTTACACTAAAAAGCTTCTTCAGTCTTAAAATGTAGTGAAGGTATGGGCATTTTGCAAACCAAATAGCCCTGTGGGACAAACACCTCTTTGGTAACAAGTTTACAAGTTAAATAATGTAGACAGAAAAACTTTTAGCTGTGCCTTTAATTGATTTCTTCTATGTACAAGACACTACACGACATGGTGGTTACAGCCAGACTGCCATGTATGATACAGGCAAGCACATGCATTGCATACCCTGAGGACCAGGACCTATTAATTACTATTATGCTCTGAGGAGGACAAATAAATAAACAGCATTGATTTTAAGATTTTACAGAGATCAACAGAATGCAATTCTGTTTGGGTAGCTGGATATACAAAAATCAATCTATTCCGACTGGATAAGGTTGGATTGAAGGCCTATCTTTCATTTAAAAAGTGTTTATGAAGCGCTCTTTTAAAGGAGCAAAATTAACTACTAGAAGGGCCACTCCTTGCCAAATTATTCAAACAGAAATTGTTGCTTTCAGTTGCTTAATTGCTTCAAATACACTAGGGCTATTCACAGGCCTTTTAGTGAGGATGGGCCTTGTTTTCTATAATCCTGACAAACATCAAGTCTCTTTTTCCAATTAAAATGCTTGTTCAGTTATTCATACCCAAAAGGTTTCCCCCTATCTGACCTAATTCAAAATTCTGGCTATAGCCCTACATGCCGTATATGCTACTCAGATGAGAAAAATGTGTAAATATACATTATCAAAAAATTGTAAATGCTGAAAAGTTGTAGGAAAATACAGAGTGACCCATATATCCATAAATCTTTTTGGACACCCTGTACTTTCAAATTTGCAATTGTCAAAAAGTAAATATTGCTGAATTTACATCGACGGCTCTATGCTCACCACAAATGAGTATTCAATCTCTATTAGGCCCTCTTGCAATTGAAGTCAATGCCTCTCACTCAAGGCATTAAAAATACAGTATAACCTGTCTAAGTGGAACACCTTTGGTACCTCTAAAAAGTGTTCCATTTATAGAGATGCGTTTAACATTAAGTCAGATGGTCTTGGGACTCTGGAAAGTGGTCAACTAACAGAAATGTTCCACTTCTGGAGGTGTTCCACTTTACAGGTTTTACTGTGCAGTAAAACCTGGATAGTATACCTCTAATCTGAACACCTCTTAATGTGACACCTTCTTAACCAAATTTTGTTATCTCATTTTTACTCACATATCAATAAACCTTTATGAACACCTGCTAATATGAACACTGAACACCTGCTAATATGAACACTGAACACCTGCTAATATGAACACTGAACACCTGCTAATATGAATACTTTTGGCTAGTCCCAGTGGCGTTCAGATTAGAGAGGTTTTACTGTTCATCAAAATCTCAATTTTGAGATTCAATTATCTATGTAATACTCTGAAATTGAAACCGATCTCTGGATTTCTGGTTCGAATGTAGGATCAGTCTTAGAGTTGACAATTAGCAAGCAACATTTACAAAACTTGTTCTATACCATATACCATCCCATATATAACACCTCCAAAAAAATTATGACATTTAATTGAATGATTAAATTATCTAAGATTGAAAAGACAGAAATGCTTAACTCCTCAATATAATGTGGATATCAATACTGAAATAAAAATGCATACAAAATTGTTTAAATCTTACATTTTTCTTATAAGGAGGATAATTAGGTGTGACTTTTGGTATTTTTGATGGGATAAGAATTAATATGAGCCGAGAAAAACCAAATCATGATCTTTGAAGCAGGTGGACTTTGCACTGTGCCCATATCAGATTTTGAAAATAGGCTTGAACCTAATTGAAAATTAAATTTACATCCACTTGAAAATTAGAAAAATTAGACTCGCAGTGATAGATATTGCAATTTTCTAATGAGAAATTAGAAATGGCCACCAAGTAATACAAAGCATGGTGAAACTTTATCAGATGTTGGCACTAGTTTGCCCTTACATCTTCATCAAATTTCAAATTCAACAGGTAAGTGGTTTATCTGGATTGGTGATCACATACATTGTGTTGTAGGACAGAAGTTTTAATATCCTGTCTTAAGTTCTTCAGTGGCAGGAACGTATCCCACAGGTTGATGTCCTGGGGGTGGGGCTCCTGGGGGTGGGGCTCCCGGGGGATATTGTCCTGTTGGTGGGGGATATTGTCCTGGGGGTGGAGCACCACCTTGTGGAGGGGGGTATGGTGGTTGTCCGGGGTGTGGGGCATATCCTGAAATATATGTAAATCATATATATTAATGAAATTATCATTAAATTATGAATATTGTTGGTTACATAAAGAAGATTTCTACCTTATCACATATTCATTATCCAGGGGTCTCCAAGTCATTAGCAACACTTGACCATTAATTTTTATATGACTACATATTAGAAATGTTGATGCAATATACATAGAGTTTTAGTTTTGTGGTTGGTGGTTGGTCTCACACTAGTTTAAAATAAATATAGACATTGCATACTTAAATAATATACATGTAGCCCAGTCCATATTTATTTACATATACATGTATTCAAATATCTAATTTTATGAAAACAGCTGTGGAAACAACAGTCATACTTTGAGAGAATGAACACAGAAACGTCAATTTTATAGGTTTTTTATGGGACCCTACTTAAATGTAGAATCATTCAAGAAAGCGGATGAAACATCCTGATAAAAGGTGTCATTATCATCACTCCAAATTTTCACCAAATGGAATATATGTATTTACATACAGGAATTTATGTACAAAATTTGTAAAGAGAATTTTGAGTGACATGTCTTTTGCATATTTCTTTTTATATATTGCCTTTATCAATGTACTTTTGTTACACAGCAAGAAATAAATTTTAATCATGCTATCATCATGGCTTTGAACTATAGCCTACCTGGGGGAGGTTGTGCGGGTCCTGGATATCCCTGGGGTGGTGGTTGATAACCCCCATATGCTGGGGGAGGTTGTTCCCCAAGTGGGTATTGCGCAGGACCTTGGGGCTGGAAGGCTCCATATGCAGGTTGTGGTGGCCCTGCAGGTTGCATTTGTTGGTAACCTGCAGGTTGTGCAGGATAAGAACCAGCAGGAGCAGCAGGGGAAACAAATGTAGTAGGTTGTGCTAAAAATTAAATAAACCAAATAATGGTAATATATAATTAAAAAGAATTTCGGATTGTTGATCAGCTAGGCCTAGATTGGCTCTAAACCATAGCTCTCCACAATCCATAGATGTGAAGTACATTGTGTGAACTCTCACCCCCCCCCCATGTGAACTAAATTGTGTGAACTCTCACCCCCCCTATGTGAACTAAATTGTGTGAACTCTCACCCCCCTATGTGAACTACATTGTGTGAACTCTCACCCCCCCTATGTGAACTACATTGTGTGAACTCTCACCCCCCCTATGTGAACTACATCGTGTGAACTCTCACCCCCCCTATGTGAACTACATCGTGTGAACTCTCACCCCCCCCTATGCGAACTACATTGTGTGAACTCTCACCCCCCCTATGTGAACTACATTGTGTAAACTCTCACCCCCCCCCTATGTGAACTACATCGTGTGAACTCTCACCCCCCCCTATGTGAACTACATTGTGTGAACTCTCACCCCCCCCCCCTATGTGAACTACATTGTGTGAACTCTCACCCCCTCCCCCCTATGTGAACTACATTGTGTGAACTCTCACCCCCCCCTATGTGAACTACATTGTGTGAACTCTCACCCCCCTATGTGAACTACATTGTGTGAACTCTCACCCCCCCCCCCCTTTAAGATGGAACACTTTACAACATGAATAGTAATGTTCATACATCTCCTCAATTTTTCTTTTGTCCCCATGTTAAATGTGTGTCATCCCAGAAGAATGAGCAATTCTAGAAAATTCTTAGGCTGAACATATGCAAAAAGATCCCAGTAGTGTCTACAGTTGGTAGGTTTTACGGTTTTACTCTTTTTTGATCACTTTAACAAAGCAGTTATACACCCAGAAGTCTAAAAAGTAATTATTTACGATGCAATGCTTATCTGTTTATCACACTGTTATTACATAATTATGCTTAAAAAAATGGGCATCGCTGACTTTGTATTAAGAATGTAGAAAATCTAAAATCAAATCAAATCATGTCAAGCATTTGTTTTTCAAATATACATATCTTTTTCTGGTCGCAAATAAACAAATTGTTTGAGATACAAATCTTCGATACATTTATATATCTTCATCAGTTATATAAATATATCGAAAACTATCTCAAAGAATTTGTTTGTTTTAAACACTTAATAGGTATCTCTGATTGCTGTATAGATTTTAGTTGAGGAAGTGAACTTACCCGGGGGAACTGATGTATTCGCTGCCTGTTGCCCTGCCTGTCGTCTACGACGATACATAACCACACCAAATATAATGAATATGACAACTAGGACAACGATTCCTCCTACGAGGAACTGGCTCCAACCAACTTTTATCCCAGATGAGACTGAAAACATAATTTTCAATTCAATAAGATTAATAATGAGCGTGTGAAAAAAGTTTCAAGGGACCTGGTGGACCTATTTTTGATCCAAAATACATCAAAACTAGAAATACTATTCTAGTAATAACTTGGACCATCTACAATGAAAATGAAAAATACATTCTTTTTATAAATTTGGAACCTGAAAAGTTTTGCTATAGTAAGTGAACAAATCACCTTTGAAAAATACTAAGAGATGCATGCATCCCCTTATAGTTTTTCCATGTTATGCCGTTTACAAGGTATTTTTAACCTTGATCTTCTTCATGAAAGTATCTCTGTAACAAGTTTGCTGATGATACAAATTCAACTAATTGCGAGCTGCTATGATTTTTGGAATTTGGGGAGACAGCGCCATTTTAGCAGGCTTTATAAATAAGTCTAAAAACTTAATTAAAATTAATTATTTTTACAATTAACAATTTGAAAGTAATTAATGGCCTCTCCAATCAAAAGAAGAACAACAAATAAATTGACATACATTTACACTTAGTCGGATATGATGTAGACTCATCTGAATTATCTCCGCAATGGTCAACCCCATCACACTTCAATGAATCATCAATACATTTGCGATTTCTACATTTAAACTCATCACAAACTGGAAAGCAAAGCACACATGATAAAATGTCGCCATTTCATAAGTTATACTTCAAAAAGTCACAAAAAGTCACAAAAGTGTTACAATATTACAAATACAGACAGTACTGAAGCCTCAGTCACATTTTCTCTTGACAGCCGTGGATTTACAAAATCGATATAGAAAATATACCATACTGCTCATCCAATATTTTATGCTGCATATTTCTTTCAATTTTGGAAAGCTGACTGAGGCATTAACTCACGGAGCGGTAGGCAAACTGCGCGCCTACTATGCACGCAGTTTGGAACATTGACAAACTGCGCGCCTATTCACAAAATGGCAGACAGGGAGGACACGACTCCCAAGAGGATGGAAATTACTGACAATACAAAGTTAATTTTGGTTATCAGACAGTACCAAGATGTGGAGAGTAATTTACTTTATACGTAGCACTCGATTTTTTTCCCGATGAATATCTAGTTATCTCAAAATAAGGTTCCCAATGAGCTTTCTTGTTCAAATTATACAGTGTTGCGTCATATAATGTCTGTTTTTCGTAGTTTGACGTTTATTCAGCCCTCATGTTTGCATATACTGAAAGATATAGGATTGCTGCTAATGGTTTAAGTAATATAGGGTTTGTGTGTTAAACAGTGACAAGCCATTAACGTGATTTTATTTTTTTCGCTGTCAAACTGCGTGCATACTTTCACGTGGATTTCACAAACTGCGTGCCTAATACTTACAAACTGCGCGCCTATATTTTCAAACTGCGCGCCTAATTTGCAAGCTGTGTGCAAGTTTGTTGTGTATTTTCAGAAAACGTAAACCCCTCTCACTAAACCTGTCCATATATAAAAAAACCAAAGTCTGTCCCTAACAAAGATGTAGATAACAACAGTGCATCTTCAAAAACCATGAAACCAGAATTAAGATGTTATTTTCACACGCACCAATGAAGAAAAGGAAACCAATCAAGAAACTAAAGGGGCGATTATTTAAAGGTACCAGTGACTCATTTGAAAAAACATGAAATTAAAAGACTGTGAAAACCTCTTGCCCGATGTCCTCTCAAACCTTAAAAGAAATAGTACATTGTGTCAACCCTTCCTCAATTTCCTTACCCTCATCTCAACAAATTCAATCCCCCTTGAAATTACCGATTTATCAGGCTCGTATAATATACATGTACTGCAGTCGGAACATTCAAGTATTACTTCCTTTGGCATATGCTATAGAATAGACTCGAAACGATTGTATCCCCAAAAATTCAAAGATTTAAGTGAAAAAGTTTTGAATTACTGAATTTTGCTCATTATGCATGCGTGGTCACTTATTTATGGTAACGTGGGTAATAAACAAAGTTTCAAGTCGAAAGAGTGAGATTGTTGTAAATATCATTTTCTTACTTATATGTTCCTAAAACTGTAAATTGATATAGTATTTTATAATGAGGAATTCATTGAATTCTAAGAAATGGCTTTTTGGACTGCATCAATCAAAAATCTAAATAAAAAAGGATTCAATATATATATTTACACAATTTTTATGAACGTATTTATTTATGTTGCACCATGCATGAAATAGTGTTAGTTTGAAATAAAGTAATAAAATAGGCAAGTTCGGCACTTCAATTGGGACTAGGCGGGGGCCTCCTGTGTGTCTTTTAGAAGGACCCCAATAGAATAAAACCATTTTCATGAGATTTTTGAACTCAACTCTATATGATGAAGTCGAATCATTGCGCCATACTTTTATAAAATCATATAGACAAGAACAAAATAAAATATATAAATATGTACATTTCCACTGGTTGTCAACCATCAACCCAATTTTAGTTTTTGATTTTTTTCAACTTTTTCAATCTCTACCAGCTTACTTACGTACTCCCATGAAATCACATAGGCCTGCATCAATAATATGCACGCAGTTTGGAAGAGTATGCACGCAGTTTGTGATTTCTGGCTAAAATAGGCGCGCAGTTTGTGTTTTATTACTTCTTTCTGTCATGTTCATCTGTTTTAATATGAAATATTTTGTATTGTACGGGAGAACTGGGTTGAGATTTACCTGTGAATCAAAACCCAAGTGTTTTCTATTTCTGTGAAACGTGCGATATCAACTTTTGTATCGGTAATCCAAAAATCGATGCCAATTTTTTGTATTAATCTGCTTATATTTTTAAACCAACGTTCATCTGGACATACATTTCGCTATCACATGGCTGAATCATATAATCGCTACCGAATGGACGTGTGAAACTATAAAACAAGTCAGAATAAATGTCTTAAAATGACGTTTGAAAACACAGACTCCAACTTGTATGATGCAATGTTGATAGGCGCGCAGTTTGTCAGTCTTTCAAACTGCGTGCATAGTAGGCAAGCAGTTTGGCTACCGCTCCGTGTAACTGTCCAATTAACTATAGCAATAGCAATAACAACTACATACCACGAGAATTGTAGAATGATGTCATAATGATCTTAAACTTGTAACCTTGGAGATGGAGTCCCTTGGAAGACTCCAACACAACAGCAGCATAACGATTCCTGGACTCAAGAGTGTAGTTGGACTTTTTATCGGTGCATGTTAGAACTGTCTGTAAAAAATAGATGTAAGACCTATGCTATAAGCAGTATTGCATTTATGTCAGATTGGGACTTTATGGTAGGGAGAATAGGATGACTTTGGGACTTTAGGGTGGCTTCGATTAATGACTGACTTTAAGGTCGCTTAGATTGATGACCTTTGGACTTCATGGTGGGGAGAATAGGAAATTTAAGGTGGTTTCGATTAATTGCATCGATTAAATTGGTTGAAATCAGATAATTTTTCATTTTTTGCCAGTTTTTGACATCTTACTACATACATATACGACAGATGATGCTCATTTTAGTATAATTAGATGGCAGAGATTATTTCTATACATTTTAAAACAATTTAAATAAAACAGAAAATTTTTAAGTAGGATTTACCAAACACTCAGACACATGTTTCTTACAAATACACTGTAAAGGGCTCAATTCTATAGCAACACTTACATCGGGTATTGCCCTTCTGCTCAAATCATCATCTAAATATACTGAGAGTATTACATCACAATTCGTAATTTTAAAGTCTTTGATTTGAACAAGCATTTGTGTCGTGGTAAATATTGATTCAATGTCACCTTTGCCATAGAAAGTTGCTTTTTTGCAATTCGGTGCATATTTTGGAAGAAGCACAGCTCCATCTATATCCCCTGGACTTTGAGCATTATCGGAGAATCCATACATACAATTTTTCCTTGGTAAGGTAACTGGAAAAGAATGAAATATATATAAGAACAATGTTATACCAAAAACAAAAAATTATGGAAAATCACTTGAGACTCTAGTATTGAAATTGAAATGATCAATGGTAAAACTTAGATATTGACAAATTGGGTCTAGGATTGATATTAAAGGGTCTGCCATATGTGTAAATGCTCAAATGGCCATCTTAAGGTCATTGTGTACTTTCGGCCAATTCGATGCAATCCTCAGAGTCACATATTGGTTTCAAATTTGAACTCATCCTTCCCCACACTGTCTATACTGGTACACTCTTTGTGTAAATTTTTAAAATGTAGAGAATGTGGGGAAGGAGAAGTTCACTTTCGAAAATAATATGTAACTCAAAAAATGATGATTCTAAAAACTCCAAATGTACACGGTAGATCAATTGGCAGAGGTAAAACAAGAGAAATTTTTATGTGAAATATAATTCTCAACAAACAATAAATATAACCCGGCATTAATATGCAAAATGTCACCACCTGACATTTGTTACAGATGCCGAACACCAACCACTGAATGCCAACAGCCAAACATCAATCATGCACCAAACACTATAAACAAAAGTATTGGAGACTATAACAATATGTCACCACCAGTGGGCACCAACCAAAGTCGATGGAGATATTAGAGAACAGGGAGGCAATGTTATCAATGTTTGTCGTCAATGTTGGTAATTGCTGGACAAATGGCTCCATGCAATAATTGTCTGACAATTACCCACATGGACAACATTGCCCCTTCCTCTAGGCCAACACTCTAAAACTGTTTGAGAAATGTAAATATAAGTTATTTCGAAAGTCGCATAACATAAACATAACATGAACATAAAGATATAATAGGGGAGATTAGTGTTGTAGCGATGTGTCATAATCGTACATCGATGCATCAGTAATTTTCAATAGTAAACATCGATGCACACCGTGATGTACTGTACATCGGGAAAAGTCTTACCAAATTTACCACAATTATAAAATAATAAAATTCTGAATGCAACAAATAAATCTGTATAATAGATGTTTTGTTTCAGACATCGATGCATAGCCAGAATCACTTTTGGCGATGATTATCACGATGTGTCGATTAATGGCGACAACACTACTGTAGGGGAGATGCGTCAAATTTTGATGTATGGAGTTACTTCGTCATGGCCCATGGGGCTACTTCGGCCAAGGGGTTATTTCGACCATGCTCAAAATTAGGGGTCTGCCATCTTGGATTAGATCTTGGATGTTGGAGATTTAGACTTTTTTTTTAATTTTCAAAAAACAAACATGGCAAACTGCATGAATCAGGAAATGTAAGCTAATGTCAAAATAGCCCCATGGTCGAAATTAGCCCCATGACAAAGGCCCTGCATACGTCAAAGTTCAACATTTTATATTTGTTACTTGTTTTTCCAGAATATAGGTGAATTACATTTTTGAACTTTCATAAGAATATAAACTACAATACTCACAATATTTATTCTTATCTGCTTTTACTTGGGACTCTCCAAGAATTGAAAGAAAAATCAACTCTATTATCGCCCATTCAATTTTTATTTCCATTTTGTAGGTCTAATATTTCACTAGAGTGGCAATTCCAGGATAAATTTTAAGTTCTAAATTATTTAAATATATCCAATGTTAAAGTATAACACGATTTATTACATCGTTATAGTTCTTGGTCGCTGAAAACAGCTGAAATTTGAAACATTTTGAGAGGAAGAAATTCCAAAAATCGATTGTCGAATCAAATCGTTAAAAGCGACGTAACCCAGCTCGAAGAAAACAAAGTTTTACATTTGCAACGTGGTCTTTTCAAACGTTATTTCTGATATATTTGAGGCATATAACTGCATTTTATCATTACTCATATATGTAGGACTATCTAAAGACTATTTCAAAGAAGACTAGGCCGGTTACAAGGCAGATAAATATGGTAATTTAATGTTGTTGGCATTTTTGACAAACCGGAAGTACAATTTTTATTTTTATTTTTGTGCTTTGACAACTCCGGCCTTTTACTCAGAGCTGTCAAGTGTCCCGCGAATGGCGGGATTATCCCGCGAATTCGATCAAAATTAGGCTAATTCGCGTGTCCCGCAATGTCCCGCGAAGTCCCGCAAATGTGGCTTTCGACCTCCGCGAATTTCCGAAATTGTTGCAATCCCCTATATGGTGATTATCTTATCTTATATAAGAAGCTTTTGCACTTTTGAGGAGTAAAGTTTACCTAATTTTAAGTACCTAGCATGCTGTTGTTTGGTATCAAAATAAAGAGGAAGGGTTCAACTTTGATTTTAATTACGACAATAGGGATGTAGGTCACAAATAGTTCCAACGTTGGCCTTTTTACTATCCGTGTGGCCTTCATCTCAGAACTGAGTAAAAGTTAGCAAACGCGAGTTATAATAAATGGACGCTGATATCTAGAAAGGGTTTGTAGAAAAAACCGGGTACCGGGTAGTAAATCCTCCATGCTGGGTTCAAACTTGGTACCCGGTACCCAGTCAAAAAACGGGTACCCAAAAAATGAAAAATACGAATATACGAGTATAACATAATTAGATTATCAGAAAACGTGTAAGATTTGTTTTGAATTTACAAAAAATGTATGTAACATCCTTCAAAATTGAGCTAGAAGCTTCAAATAAAAAGCATATTTTAAGGCTCTTTTCTTCCTCTATCGTCATGACCATATTTTCATTGGTTATGTTCACGTACCAACATACGAACTCATTGAAAATAGAGTAAAATTGATTTGTCTTGTTATTCAAATCGTCTTACAATGTCATTGGCGTAGCCAGGAGAGGGTGTGATGGTGCGATCGCACCCCCTCCCCCTTCATTACCAATGGAAATATGACCATGATCATAGAGGAAGAAAAGAGGCTTAAAATGCTTTTTATTTGAAGCTTCTAGCTCAATTTTGAAGGAAGTTACATTTTTGTGAATTCAAAACAAATCTTACACGTTTTCTAATGATCTAATTATGTTGTATATTCGTATATTTCGTTTTTTGGGTACCCGGTTTTTCGACCGGGTACCAAGTTTGTCTACGTAAATTTTATTTATATTATTATGTATACGTTAATTAATTGCATTACATTTACATCTACATTTATATTTACATTTACATGTACATAAATAAGAATGAAGGAATAAAAAAAAAAAAAAAGTTTGAACCCAGCATGGAGGATTTACTACCCGGTACCCAGTTTTTTCTACAAACCCTATCTAGAAAAGTAACCTCATTCCCTATAATTTGATGTAGATTAATCGAACCCCTATATCATGGGCTTTCAATTGAAAGCCCATGCCTACAGTATGGTAGTAGTTGGTCACGACGCCAGAAGCAGAGAAGTGCAAAGTATTGTTCCAAATTTTTGAATTTCGTGTTAGATTATGATACTCACACCTCAAGCATGGTTTTTGTTTTTGATAAATTACAATAAAGTTTAATAATATTTCTATGCGTATTTTGTGAAATTATGTTGACGTTTATTTAAGTTACAATGAAACGGTGCATTGTATTTGATTAATCAGTATCTGAAAGTTTGATTCATGTACTTTTACACGCTTTTACATTAGTCCAAATCACGCAAATCCCTTGAATGTCCCGGGACATCCTGCAAATTTAGGTGGATGTCCCGCGAAATCCCGCAAATTTAGGGCACTTTTTCTAGAAAATCTGTCCCTCTATGAAGTTTTTGCTGGTAAACCTGTTAACTGTCCCGCAATTAGGGTGTTTGTCCCTCGAATGGTCCCGCGAAATCACGCGAATTTGATAAAAAAAATTGGCCTATAAGCGCAATCACGCAAATCCCTTAAGTGTCCCGCGAAATCCCGCGAATTTAGTAGATGTCCCGCAAAATCCCGCGAATTTTGGGCACTGGGTCTAAAAAATCTGTCCCGCGAGAAAATCTTTGGGGGTTGACAGTACTGTTTACTGTTGTAAGAAGTCGTTATTCTTCAATACCATATGTAAACAACCTCTATGAAACTCTTTATTTATATTCAACCCCGTTATCTATACCTCAGTTGTCTATCTTTATATGGCTCTTAGCCGCTCTTTTCACTGAGGTCATTTCCAATATAGTTCACTCATGTGACACATTGCTATGAGTTTCTACCACGCTATACTCCATGCCAGTCCAAGTCTTCAACATATCACTGCGGCAGGCAAAACTTTAGTCTCATTTTCACCTGAATTAAAAGATGTCATTGGAAATCTCAAGAATCGAGAACTTGATCGGTTCCCCTGCGCAGGTGTACATATTATTGATGAACCATGCAGTAATTGAGCAAAGTACATGTAATAGAATACATATTTTAGTTGTTTCATAATTTCTCGAGATTTTGGATATTTCATTTACCTGCTGCAGCATCTATTTTTTGACAAAAGTCCCATGGGAGTTCAAGTTTCTATCACCTTGTAGTATGTACAGTGCAGTACAAAAATGCTTATTGGCTATTCAAATTACAAAAGGAGCGAGGTGTCCATCTCCATGAAGGTTACCGTATATAAATATATGTTCATATGTATGTTTTCAATTTCAGGATTACTCAAAATTTCTAGATGATAACTTTGATGCAAAAGAATGGATTAACAATGCCTTCAAGACGCAAAAAGATAGCACAACAAGCAAAGATGTAAGAAATAGTGAAGCAATGAAAACAGAGAATTCAAACATTATTGAATCAACTTAATTGTCATTTTTAAAAATCAAATCAACAATTAGGATACCCACCTACATTGTATTTAGAAATATACCCATTTACCCAGAATTAAATTTTATATTATGTTTTTAAAGTACTACAACTAACTTCAAAAATTGAATGTTAACGACAACCCTGAGAATTCTATGTGACGCTTAAGTGTTAAGTTCCTTGGGATTTTTGGACATGTCATTTCATTTATTTATTCATTGTTTGCAGCAATATGCCACTACTCTTGTGATGAAGCTACAGATGTTCATACAGGTAAGACCCCTTTACATCTTAGCGCCTGAGGGTTTAAGTGAACTGTTCGATTTCTGCACATCATACAGTACAATCTGACAATAGCATATAATAATATCCCCAGAGGGTTTGGTTTTCAGTGAACTATGAAAAAACTCGTATTTTGTTTCTGTACATCATACAATAGCAATAATAATCCCCCGCAAGCCCTGAGAATTTTGAGTAAACAATTTATTTATGTATATCAATATCATACAATAACATATAATAATCTCATACAACATAGGCAATGAGGGTTTTGAGTAAACAATTTTGCCCCCACTGGCGGATTAGGGGGGGGGGCCTGGGGGCCCGGCCCCCCCCCCCCTTGGGTGGGCCCAGAAAAAAAATTGGGCCCAAAAAAAATTTTGGGCCAAAAAAGGCCTTAAGGCCCCAAAAAGTGGGCCTTTTTGGTCATAACTGGGCCTTTTAAGGCCTTATTTATTAATTTCAGGCCAAATTTTTAAGAAAATGGGCCTCAAAATTTCAAAATTTGGGCCCACTTTTGGGTTTTAGGGGCCAAAAATTTTTTTCCCCGCAAGAGCGGAAGTTTTTTTCTCTGACCTGAAATTTTGGCCCCCCCCCCTTGTTGGTTCCTAGATCCGCCCCTGGCCCCTGTATACCATACAACAGCATTCAATAATCTTTCATTATAGACTTCCTGAGCGTTTACCTGGATTTTATTTCTGTATATCATACAATAACATATAATAATCTCATACAACATAGGCAATGAGGGTTTTGAGTAAACTATTTTGTCCCTGTATACCATACAACATCATATAATGTAGTCTTTCATTATAGACTTCCTGAGCGTTGACCTGGATTTTTTCGATTTTAGGAAGTGAACAATGTGATAGAGGAAGGTTCCCAGCAAGCCTTGCAAAACATGCCTCGTGTCCTACGTGAGATTGATGCAGTTACATCAGAGGCCAAACTCCTGCAAGATCAGATGAGAGCTGTTAAAGAAGACATTGAAAAGGTTAGTGCCCATGAGGAAGAGGGTAGCGAGGTATTTAATGCCAGATCTCAATTGGGCTTAGGAATACAGTGTAAATCCATCAGATGTATTCTCACACTCAAATTTGCAAATTCTGCCAATTTTTCAGAAAACATGTACAGTGTTGGAAACACATCGAAACTCTGTTGAGCTATATGGAGATGATTCCTTTGAAAATGGAAAATATGAAATCATGAATGTTGGTTATTGTTTTCCTCCATTCATACCATAGCCTTTATGTTGTAGTAGCCATGTTGCTTGTAGCATTTTTATTGAACCCAAGTGGGTGTTTGCTTGTTGTTTGTTCGTTTGTTTATTTGTTTGTTTTTTCCACATGAAATATAACATGGACCATTCCAGTTTCAATATGGCATAATAATACAATAATTCTTTACCCTTTATAATGACAACTTGAAAATGTTGATTTGATGCTCACATCATTTACTCAGCAGGAGATCCAAGCCATCATTCCAGTTGTTATATTTTTAATCAATAGGTTTATTTCCTAAATTCAAATGTACAGAGAATACAGGTAGGGGCAAATCACCAACTTCCTGTATTTAATGTCCCCATATTAAAACACACAATGAAACATAATAATTATTATGTCTGTCTTCGGACATTTGGAGACCTGAGTCCCTTAGTCTAAATGGATGTGTTGTTTTGTATGGTTGTAGGTGGAGCATGACACAGCTCAATCTATGGAGACCTTGATGAAATTGGACCAGGTGAAGTCTCGCATGAAGGACACCTCACACGCCCTACAGGTAAATTTACTTATTTTGTTGTCGATCTTATTGTACAAAAGAATTATTAGTCATAGCTTAATATTAGCCATGAATTTATTGTCCTTATCATTCATTCATGTTAAAGGAAGATTTTAATTGATATTTGTTTATTCAAAAATCATGAAAAAGTGAATAAAACTTTAGTAGTATTCCAAATTATGGAGTTTTAAAAATAGATTATTCATTTAAAAAACAAACTGAAACTAACCAAACTTAGATTAATAATATTCCACAACATTTTTGTATTTTATTCATTTAATGCATAATTAGTATGTTGTCATAGGAAGCTGACAACTGGACAACACTGTCAGCAAATGTGGAGGAGGTGTTCCAGTCCCAAGATATCTCAGCAGTAAGTAGTAGTAACAACTCAAATGATGCCCTTTGCCTTATAACTGTCACTTTTGTATGATACAATTTAGAGAATATGAAATAAATGCTAAAACATCTACTAGTAATGGTTGCGAGAGTGATAAATATGAAATTCCAAAGTATGGGAAATGCAGTAAGTGCTCACTATATTCAGAATTTATATTATTTCAAACTACATGTATCTTGAAATAAAAAACAGTCTGAAACAACGTTATATTTTATTTCAGATCTCTCAGAAACTTGTTGGAATGCAACAAAGTTTGGTAAGTATTCATTCTTTAAATTCCATATCTAAATCTTGTATGAATTTATTCATCAAAGAACTTGCAACTTAGAGGTCTGTACATCTCAAACAAAAAATCTATTTTCTGAAATACTGTACAAAATGATTGGTCAGGTTGATACTGTCACTACATAAAGAATCAGTAGTTACAATACAAAGCTGAAAGTTATTGCCTGTATAGTTACTAAATATTTCTGTAGAATAACTTTCATAGGTATGTACAGTAAAACCTGTCCAATTCATTAACGCCACTGGCACTGGCCAAAAGTGTTTGGATTGGCAGGGACTCACATTTCATGATTTGTAACATGGAAGTCTTTGGCAGATTAAAAAAATGAGACCAAAAAAGCATTCACATTGAGTGCTCAGATTAGTGAGGTTTTAGATATACAGGTTTTACTGTACTGTAAAAATGGAGATTGTTTAAGAAATATGGACCGAAGAGCAGGTGTAATATCGTCGAATACACCCAGCAGGGCTAAACACAAACGTTTTTTGTACCCCGAACGACCGTTCAACCCACCGTTATGACGTCACACATTACACGCATTACTAGGGGTATTGTTCGCGAATATACCCCAGGTGAAATGTTGACTTTGATACAGTTTATAGAAGGTGTGAATACAGTCATGTTCGAATAATGATTATTTCCAGCAAATGTTGGTAGATGTACCTGATTATGAGGATCGTTGCAATCATTTAGAATCACTGAAGAACAGACTTGAGGCCATGCTAAGTCCTCAGCTTGTTGCTGCTTTCAACACACAATCTTTAGGTGATTATTGCATTTATTTAACCTATTTTCAGAAGGACTGGAATATCTAAAAAATGATTTTTGCGTAGTTTTTCAAATTCTCAACTTTTGAAGTTGATATATAAAGCACTTGTTATTTATCCAAGTCTTAACCTATTTTCAGAAGGACTGGAATATCTAAAAAATGATTTTTGCGTAGTTTTTCAAATTCTCAACTTTTGAAGTTGATATATAAAGCACTTGTTATTTATCCAAGTTTACAACTACTTTCTAGCATAAGATTTTAAAGACCGTTACAAGCTTATAACATATTGGCCCTGGCTTTAGTTTAATGATGACATGTTAAATCTCCTCATTTCTTCCCTATTTCAGAATCTGCACAAGGATACGTCCAAGTGTTTTCAGACATAAACCGTCTTCAACAGCTCAACAAATACTACCACAAATGTCAAAAGGTAAAAACAATTGTCAATATACATTTTCATATCTGAGTTTTCCTGTTTGTGGAAACAATGTTATGTTATGTTGTTGTGTGTGTTGTTATGTTATGTTATGGTGTTGTGCTTATAGCAGGTATTGTATCATTGTTTACATTTTTAACATATTTCTGTGAATGAATTACACGATTTTCATACCCAGTAGCAATGTTTGTTTTTATTTATTAAAAAGTAATAACATATTTATGGTTTTCTAGTAAGAACACCTATTTGGCAGTAATGTTTATGTTATATATTAAATAAAAGATTGACAAGTGCTTGAAAAACACAAAATCACACAAGATGTACCATGACATGCTTCATACATATTTGCCTTAGTAATGTTACAAAACCTTGAGCAGTACATTATATGGGCAAGTACTTTAGTAGCATGTGTATGCTCAGTACAGTGCTGACCAAAATAGTTCTTGTAGACAGGTGTTCCTCTCAGAGAGGGTTAATTAACATGTAAGTCAATGGGTTTTGATTCATTATGTCATCAGCACAAATGGTGACATATAGCTATGGTCTCCAACACCGTGTTCAGCATTTGATGGTTGGTATTTGGTGGTTGGTGTTTGGCATCTGTAACAAATGGCAGGTGTTGACATTTTGAATATGTTATTGCTTTGTTTGAAAACTGATCCATCATACATCTTGTTTGATTTTAGGCTAAGTTGTTAGATATCTGGAAGAAGACAGTTGATGAAAACAGTGACAAGTCAATGGTTGAGTGGCTGCCAGGTTTTTACGATCAGTTACTCTCAACTTGGCACACGCAGGTATTGATATTATTACAGAGTGTCTCTCTATTCTTCATTTCAAGATGAAGATCTGGAAAAAGAAAATTAGTTTAAGGTTTAGAATACGCACACTTTGCATTCAAACATATATTTAACATTATTTCTGCCATGCACTAAACATCAAACTATGTAAAGGATGCAAATGGCAGTCCCATGTTGGAAGTTATGCTTTATACTTTTACTATTTGAACTGGTCATACTTAAAATAAGGTCAATTGACATTTTATAAAACTCTAAGGTAAATTGCAATTGGTACATTAGGCATGGGTAAATTAGATGAAATTAAAGGGATGGAGAGAGTAAAACGTTGTAAGTAAACTTCACAGAAAGTTAGAGTACAACAAAGAATCTCACCTTGCAGTATAATTGGTGATTTTGAAAGTGATTTATGAAGTAGCTTTAGGTTTGTGTCAGTTTATGCTGATTTGCTATAATTTCAGATCACATGGTGCAGTCAAGTATTTTCTAACCCTGCAAGGTTGGTGTGTGATGTTCTGACTGACACCCTTCTCAGTGTCGACCCTTCCCTGCCTCTTTGCGTCACAACCACAGTTGAAGAGGAGTCTCATGTTTTGCCAACTCTCATAGAGTTAAAGGAGGTAGGTTTCTTTGTGGCACCAGCATGATAATATGTGTAAACAGGTATGTTTCTATCATTCATATAAAATATAATCCACCCTCCTTGTCTCTGTATCAACATGATACATAAAAGGAAGATTTTATTTAGCGGTTTAGAGGGCTAGCGATTCTCTATTAAAGATATAAAGAAAGGTTGTACCTCATTGTCTAAAAAAAGTAGAAGAATGTTAAGAACCAGGAAGTTTTGCTCAAACTGTCTGAAAAATTGCTATCAAGTGGAATATTTTCTCCATAGACACATATAACAGCATTTTATGAGAATGAAAAGTTTTTTTTTCAAATATTGATTTTTTGTCCTTCTTTTTGGAAGTTTCTATTATTTGCTTACAGATATCTGGAAGATTTGCCAAGGCAATAGAGGGAGCCACTGAAAGTCACATCTCTGGTTCAAGTAAGTCTTTGAGCATGCCAAAATATCTCAATTGTATTCTTGTCTGGATTTATTAATATTCTACTTTTTAATAATGGCACCTTGAAGCCATTCAAGGTCAAATAATTTTTTTAGTTGGAGTTTGAATCAAACTCTCAATCGAACTTGAAGATGTGCTGTATATGGAATATACTCAAGGGGCGAGGAGGAAAATTCTCAATAAATGGTGTATAGTTGGTTTGGCAGTATTTTCAGTTAGGGGAGAGTCTTGGATGAAATTTCCACCTAGGTGATAGCTTCGCAGAGTGGTAGGAAGTTCTTTTTTTTGAGGAGTTAGCCCCCCACCCCCAAAAAACACCCCACCCTGGGGAATAATTTGTTCACACTAAATAACCTTAGATATTTTGATGTTTGTAAGTGACATACATAGATATTATATATATGAATAATTTGCAGTTTTATTGATGCTGATTACTCCTAAAGAATTTGAATATCAGTACAAAGTGTGTACCCCAGGGGGCAAATTCGTGACTCATTTTCTTACTGTTTTGATTCTAACTTTTCAATTAGACACTGTAAGAGGTTGAAAAAATTCATGTGAAGTGCCCAATAGCAGAGTTAGTAACCCTGAAAGATGCAAAGCCAAGGAAGAAGTAGGAGCTGAGAAAAAAATTGTTGATTTTTTGAAAAATTTGACATTTTTGACAACTGGATTTTGTGTATGACTATAGCTGACCCCTATAGTTTCTAGATCCATCCCTCTATGATGATATTTATGGTTTTATAGTGTGGAACTAAGATGTAAAACATAATTAAGATGGGTTTTAAGGAAGTTTAAGGTTTTAAACAAGTCCAAAATTTGAAAAATTGTAAATATAAGGTTTCAAATTTACGAATTCCAGGTATAGCCATGGTTGACACCTATATTTTCTAGATCCATCCATCTTTGATGATATTTATGCTTTCATTATGTGAAACTAAGATGTAAAACATAAATTAGATGGGTTTTAAGGAAGTTATAGGTTTTAAACAAGTCCAAAATTCGATAAATTGAAAATGTAAGGTTTCAAATTCACGAATTCCATGTATAGCCATGGCTGACCCCTATAGTTTCTAGATCCATCCATCTTTGATGATATTTATGCTTTCATAGTGTGAAACTAAGATGTAAAACATAAATTAGATGGGTTTTAAGGATGTTATAGGTTTTAAACAAGTCCAAAATTCGAAAAATTGTAAATGTAAGGTTTCAAATTTACGAATTCCAGCTATAGCCATAGCTGACCCCTATAGTTTCTAGATCCATCCCTCTTTGATGATATTTATGGTTTTGTAGTATGGAACTAAAGATGTAAAACATAATTTAGATGGCTTTTAAGGAAGTTAATATGATTTAAAACAAGTCCAAAATTTGAAAAATTGTAAATATAAGGTTTCAAATTTACGAATTTTAGGTATAGCCATGGATGACCCTTATGGCTTTTTCATCAATACTTCTATGATGAAACATATACTTTTAGAGTGTGAAACTAAGATGTAAAACATACCGAAGATGAATTTTAAGGAAGTTTAAGAATTTTAACAAGTGCAATATTTGAAAAATTGAGAAATATCAGGTCTCAAAGGAGCACGGAAAGTATCGCAACAGATTTCAGACAGTCATATGTTGGATTTTGTCTGTTTTCTGAGGATTTAAGCAGGTGCATATGATAGACCATTGCATTACCTACGGGAAAAGAACTCTTAGAGATGATAAAATAGTTTGGAATTTGAGACAGCGAAGGTGAAAACAATCCACCCACATGTTTTTTGGGAAATGTCATCCTGATTTTCAACCCCGTTCACCCCTGGTTTTTCAATTTTGTTGCATCAATATGTTGCGTTTTGAGACATAGTTAACCATTAAAAGGATAAATTTCTTTTAGATAAAGCGGAAAACAATATTTTCCTGTTATTTTCCCATAGGGAAAACTCATGTGATCCATTGCTTTCAGCTTAATTTTGGTCACCCATATTAGATATCTTTAAAATCCCTGATGGAATGTATTTTTCATTTAAAGGGGTTAACTGTATGTAAAAACACATATATTTATACATATACACATATATATTTATGCATGTGGTGGGTTGTTTGCACCTTCCCTGTCTCAAAATAGAAATTATTTTATCATCTCTATGGGTGCTTTTCCTGGAGGAAATGCATTGGCCTAACATATGCACCTCCTCAAATCCTCAGAAATTGGCCAAAATCCAACATATGATTGCTGAAATCTGTTGCGATACTTTCAGTCCTTCTTTACGATTTCAGGTATAGCCCTGGATGTCCCTCTTTTTGAATGTATGACTTAGCTTAGAAATTAGATGTTAGATTATTGTGGTCAGGTTTGATCCATGTTACATGTATTGTTAAAAGAAAAATCATTAGAGTTGAGGACTTAACCCTTGAGTTCCTAAGGGGGTGAGAGGTTAATAAATCCCCGAGTAAGTGTAATTGCTCCTAGGGATATCGTATACAGTGTAGTAATTGATTGATTAAATGGATTATAACTAATTAATTATTATTTGATGATATTTATTATGTGATATAGCATTTTTACTTTTTCACATCAACATGTTCGATGTAATGTTCTGCATTATCAGAATACACAAAGACATGGTTAATTAAAAGAAACATGTTTTCTCTATATTTTGTTATGCCCCTTCTGTAATTAAGCAATGATCATCTCCTAATACAAAATGTTGTTATGAATTATCAAATTATAATCACTACACTCCCAATAAAACAATTTGTCATCAGGCAACAGTAATTATTTGGGAAAATAAGGATTATAAGGATCATACCCCCCCCCCCCCGGGCCTAGAAACATCCGTTAGTGCAATGATATAAGGAACTCTAGGGTAAAAGGGTCTTGTCACATTAAAATCTTCATGTAGATCAAAAAAGTATATATGGTGATATGATCAATATGTTTCAAACAAGCAGACATTGTAGAAAATGTTTACATACTGACTTTGCAGATGACATTTTCTAGCATAGTTGAAGAATTTTTTTCATTCATTGAAATGATAGTCATAAAATTATAATATCAGTGTCATTTGATGCAAATTACTGCAGTCCCACATGTTCTGCTGAATGTAAAACAGAGTGAATAATTTTAAAATCAGCCTCTTCAGGAGTGGAATTTAACAGGAGATTTCAGTTATCATTTTCACAGATATTTGAGTTCTCTCCAATAGTTCCACTTAAAACAATCTTGACATTTGGCACACTTTTAGAATGCTGCTTTATTGAATTTCTTTGTAATCTTTGAAAATTTGTCTTATATTACTTGAACAAAGGTATTCGTATTTTTAGGTAATGGTGTAATTTCTTCTATGGATTAAAGTTCAATAGGGGAAGCATCCATTCTTCGCATTCTTTCAGAATCCTTTACTGATGGAGACAACTAGCTAGGAGTCTAATATGAAATCTATTCTTTGGGCTCCTTTACTAGATTTGATGGAGTAGTCAAATATAGCTTTCCAAAACTCTCCAAATTTCAACATATAAGTTAATCTTCATTTTCCCTTTGTCATAGCCATTGCATCAATCACGAAAGTTTTATCAATTTGTGGTATGGTTTCATCGATCTCCATTTCAAACCCCTTTTTAAGTTCTGATTTTTCAGGATAAGATAGATGATCATTGTCAAACGAACTGTTTGTATCCATATAAGATCATAGTTTACTCACACATTTCTAGGCAAGGTGTGTCCAATTCCAGCCAATTCAATATTCCATATAACTGCATTCCAATTTACTACTCTCATAAACCCAAGGTCAATTTTAGATTCTAGAGAAACTAATGAAACTAATGATCATAGGGAATAGCATGCCAAGTGCTTGTATTTGAATTTATGTGGATTACTCATTTGGTAGACACCTTTATCAAATGTTAAAGTGTTGTTGATTTTCAAGTTGTACAAGCACAGTGTCATGTGTGCTTTCTTTTCCTGACATTGTATAACATTGTGGTAAAAATTATCAAAGGCACCTAGTACAGTAGTTCTAGTTCATCATATTGTATAAATGATATATTAGCAGTGAAACCTGTATATCCCAACATCTGACTATTGTGAACACCTACCAATCATCCCAACACCTGACTTATCTGAAAACCAACCAATCTGAACACTTTTCCCCAGTTCAATTTTTTTCCTCCCATTGACTCCTATGTTTAAAAATTGAAATCTGAACACCTCTTAATTCGAACAGTGAACACTCATATTTGAAAAATCAACCTGTTTAACTTGAACTTTTTTTTACCAAATATCACATATTTCTTACAAAATTGCTCAGATATTGTCAGTTTAACACTGAATTGTTATGATATCAAAACTTTTGAATTGGATTTTGGAATGCTATTAAGCTTTTTGGGTGGTCAGTAATGACAGTATAAATATTATTAATATTTATTAATATTTTTCATTGAGAATGCATTCATATTTCTTCAAAATCCAGAATATTGCAGATGTAAAAACCTCAAAATTCAAAAACTTCTAATTTGAACGCTTTTAGCTGGTCCAAATACTATTAATCTAGTAGCATTCAGATTAGAAAGATTTTACTATAGTTCATGACTTTTCACTCCATCTATATGCAGCAGACTAACTTCTGCAACAGGTATATATTCTATACCTGGTCTCTAAGCTATGATATCACAGTTGTTACTATTATGCTCATAACCTTCGATTATCAGGGCTCATTCAAGGCTGTACCTGAATAACGTGAATTTGAGACCAATTTTCGAGATCAATTTTTCAAATTTTGCACTTGTTTAAAACCTTGAACTTCCTTCAAACTCATCTTTTACATTTTAGTTAAATACTCTAAAAATATACATCTCATCACTGAGGTATAGATGTAAAAAAAACATAAGGGTCATCTTTGGCTATACCTGAAATTCATAAATTTGAAAACTTACATTTACAATTCTTCAAATTTTTGACTTGTTTAAAACCTTAAACTTTCTTAAAATTCATTTTGGGTATGTTAAATCTTAGTCCCACACTCTAAAACTGTATATTTAATCATAGAGGTATGGATGTAAAAACCATAAGGGTCAGCCATGGCTATACCTGAAATTCGTAAATTTGAAACCTTATATTTACAATTTTTCAAATTTTGAACTTGTTTAAAACCTTAAACTTCCTTAAAACCCATCTAAATTGTGTTTTACATATTAGTTCCATACATCAATACCATAAGTATCACCATAGAGGGATGGATCTAGAAACTATAGGGGTCTGCCATGGCTATACCTAGAATTCGTAAATTTGAAACCTTATATTTACAATTTTTCAAATTTTGGACTTGTTTAAAACCTTAAACTTCCTTAAAACCCATCTTAATTATGTTTTACATCTTAGTTCCACACTATAAAACCATATATATCATCATAGAGGGATGGATCCAGGAACTATAGGGGTCAGCTATAGTCATACACAAAATCCAGCTGTCAAAAATGTCAAATTTTTCGAAAAATCAACAATTTTTGTCTCAGCTCCTACCTCTTCCATGGCTTTGCATCTTTCAGGGGTTACTAACCCTGCTATTGGGCACTTCACATGAATTTTTTCAACCTCTTACAGTGTCTAGTTGAAAAGTTAGGATCAAAATAGTAAGGAAATGGGTCACGAATTTGCCCCCTGGGGTACACACTTTGTACTAATATTCAATTTTTTTAGGAGTAATCAGCATCAATTATACTGCAAATGATTCATATACGAGGGTTGATCATAAAGTTCTCTCTAATTTCTTTATTTTTTAATATTTTCCTATGAAATTTTCACAGAATGTGCAGTATGGAATGGTTTATTAATCCAGCAAACAATATTTAGAATAACAGAAACATTAAATAAGAAATGGTTGCCATAGTAACTTGAAATCAAGGCACCCGGGGCAAATAAAAAAACGAGCTAGAATAGCCCCCATTCACCATGTTTAAATACATAATATGTTGTCAAATAAGCTATCAAACACATTAAATTGTCAAATAATATGTGCTCTTGACTGTTGTGAACTATTATAATGGTCATGTGAATTGTGTGATCTCATAATGGATGATTGTTACGCTTCATTAGAAGTGACTGTTAGACCCCAGGACTGTTTTGTCAAATATCCTGAGGAAAATTGATTTTGCCCCTTTAGTTCATTTTAACATGTACAGACCACACACAGGGTGTAATTTTGTTGATGTCTTAGCAAAATATTTGTTTTAGACCATGTTTAGTCCAACCAAAGGATCTTACAAACTTAACATAACATTTTATCAGTATCAATTTTATTTTTATGAAGATCTCTGTCTCTATTACAATCTCTTACTCGGTCATTTCTGATCATTAGCTTTGAGTCTCAGACTCTGGTATCACATCTAATGGAGCATGAAAGCACCCCCTATGACATCACACAATTAACACGATCGATTTATTTAATTGTTAAAGCACTTTACAACATATTGAAGTTAACATTTTAACGTGTTTGGTAATTCATGAGGGTTTATTATGTTTGTAAACATGGTTGATTAAGCTCATTCTCTCAATTATTTTTATTTGCCCCGGGTGCCTTGATTTCCCGTTACTATGGCAACCCTTCCTTATTTAATATTTCTGTTAAACTTAATGTTTTTTGCTGAATTAATAAGACATTCTATGCTACACATTCTGTGAAAATTTCATTAGATTATATTGAAAAATAAAGAAATTAGAAAGGTATTATGAGAACTTTATGATCAACCCTCGTATATAATATCTATGTATGTCACTTACAAACATCAAAATATCTAAGGTTATTTAGTGTGAACAATTTTTTTCCCCGGGGTGGGGTGTTTTTGTGGGGTAGGGGGGTAACTCTTCAAAAAAAGAACTTCCTACCACTCTCTGAAGCTATCACCTAGGTGGAAATTTCATCTAAGACTCTCCCCTAACTGAAAATGCTGCCAAACCAACTATACTCCATTTATTGAGAATTTCCCTCCTCGCCCCTAGAGTAATATGGATATCCACCTAAACCAAGACTAGTTTCAATCCTTACATAAAGATGTCACTTATATCAATTTTCTCCTGAAGTAAGAATTTTAAACTTCAAAAAAAGGTTCAGCACCAGCTTTAACATAGGGGGTGGCAATGTTTTGGAAATCTGAATTAATTTCATCCATTTCTTTAGGTACAGGACAGTACAATACAGGTGCGAATTGTGTGAAGTACCTCTAGTTGATCTGATATTTGAATATACATAAAAGTATTATATTGGATGAAGAATGTGAAGAAATTATCTTAAAATTATACATTATACATAATTTGAAAATTTTAAAGAAAAGACATTGAAAATAAATGAATAAAGTGAATTCAAGCACTCCCTTCAGTGCATGTAACTTTACTAAGTCCCATATTGAACATACTCCCCAGGCCATAAGTGTACATAATTCAATATGATTTCAATTCTAAGCTGTTCTTTAGACACAGAACATGTTTATACATTAATTGAAATAATATTGTACTAAAGTGGTATCAATGGTTTCCAAAATAATAAATCTTTGTTATGGAACATGTTGATCTTGAAAGAATGTTATTGTCCTATTTCGAAGAAATCCAACAACTTGATACTGAAATGAACCCATATTTAAACTTTTGATCATGCTTAATTTGTGTCATTTCTCTCTCTCTATTTGATTAAATCATCTGACTTTTTACGCTCTACATGATTTAGAGAATTGACTGAATATTGGCAGTGAAACTTTTCCATGCATTTTCACTTAGTTTTAACTTTTATGCTTGATTGCTTGATAATTTACTCGAGGAATGTTTTTGTTTGTTGTGGAGCTTAGTTAGACATAATAGACTCTCATAATACCAGTTTTAGATTAAATCAAACTCGTATCGTGACAGATTTACTTGCGTCTTGCAATATGTTATTGAGTTACTGAAGTTTCGACAATTCCTTGCAATTAGAGCATTACTTCTGGTGTCTGAGTGACTAAATAACATGTTTATTAAACCCTCTCGCACCTGCTACCACACAGTTTGTGTAGTATTGTTCTTTTGTAGTTTATTGATGATCTCCCACTTGTTCATCTGTTTGTCCATCCATCCTTCCATTTACAATTTTCAGTAAATGGAAACTGCCAAAAAACTGACATTAAGGAAAACATTTTGGATATTTCTCATTTTTAAAAAGTCAAGGAAAACATTTACGTTATTTCTGTTATTCTATAAAAAGTCAAGGAAAACATCTACAATATTTATGTTATTCTAGAAAAAGTCAAGGAAAACATTTATAATATTTCTGTTATTCTAGAAAAAGTCAAGGAAAACATTTCTCTTATTCTAGAAATCCAATAAAACATTTCTGTTATTCAAGAAAAAGTTGAGGAAAACATTTCTTTTATTAAACATTTCTGTTATTCTAGGAAAAATCCAATAAAACATTTTTGTTATTCTAGATGAAGACAAAGAAAGTGTGGATAATCTTTTAGCCACAATATACAAACCCTACCATAGTCATATTGCATCATATGGTCAACTGGAACAGGATGCATTGATGGCGGACCTTAATAATATTGCTTTAGTAAGTCATTAGTTATTTTCAAGTGATTTTGTAATTTTTCTCATTATCAGGCATTTGGTGACCTCTGATGTGGTAAAGTAATACTCAAACTGAGCGCTAAATAGCAAACATTGTCATGGTGATAGGGCAGAGTTTGATTATGAGACTTACATGTACTAGAATCTGCTTTTGAATTAATGCAAATAAAATGTGATCATATGTCAGCCCCATCCGTGAACATGTAATAAAGGAAACTTCCACAAAAGTGAAATAACGGCCCTTGTAAAATTGAATTCTGTGGAGTATAGCATAGCCAGCTTTCAGTCAGGGGGGGGTGCGATTTTGGCATAAACAAGCCCAAAAAATAAGGATCGCACCCCCCTGGCTACGCCTATGATACAGAATAAAAATATATACACTCAACTAATCAAATTACTTTGAAACTGATATACATGTGATAAATTACAGGATCACTCAGAGATATTGGACACAGTGAGACTGGTCGGGGAATCTGTCACAAAACTATTTAGTGCGACCAATCAGGTAAGTGAGCTATCTATAAACATACGTCTGTATTGCAACACACTCAATGTAGGACTTCAACATTAATTAATACAGCATAGAGGGTGTAACACAATTCTGTTCACTGCAGATGACAAGCATTTTGTACCAAATTTCAGATGGTATACTGAAGCCCTGGCAGCATTTAGCTCAACTTGAATCCCAAAATTAACAAATGTAAAAAACTTTATTTCAAGAATTTATTTCTAATACCCTATAATCTACATATTACATTGACATGCAATATACAGTACAAACATTGTACATGTACAAACATTGTACATATATGAACATTCAACATGATTCATGTATAAACATTATGTACATAAACACTTTCATACATGTACAACATCATATCTGTATAGACATTCTACATGTTCAGACATTATTCTTTTATAGATATTATACATGTACAAACATTATACATGTACATGTACAAACATTTTACATGTGCAAACATTATACATTACTACATGTAGAAGCCATTTGACTTCTGTCAATGCATTCCTTATATTCCAATTTGGTCATTCTTATTCCAGATTTGTTAACATATCACAAAAACACAACATTTTTGGCATTTTGATCTACACATCATACTACAATATATGATTAAGATCAGTAAACCCCCTTAAGACAAACACTTCTCAGATAACTGTTCGTTTCCAAGGATGGATTTAACATTCACACTACAGAGGTCTTCATCTGAGATGGGCATTCAATTTGATTACTGTACTTCATTGACCTCGAGGCTATTTCAACATATTTCTTGTTATTCAATATCGTAACCTGCTTCTTGTTTCTATGCTTAGAAACAGAACTCATATTACCATGTATACTTCCGTGATATGACTTATTTCTATAGCAACCACATAATATCATATTTAATTAACTTATTGAACAGCTACATTGTGTAATATGAAATCTAATCTAACATCTAATCAATTGGAAGTCTCACAAATTATACCATAATTTTGGAGATAGTAGGGAGTTTAAGCTTGCACTGTTTTTCACAACCTAAACGTGAACAGAAAATATTTAAGCGATGCATTTGTATAGGCAAATGGTCATATGTAAAAGTTGGCGTTTCGATTTTATATGCAAGCTTAAACTCCCTATTCTTAGTTAAACTACTGTAAATAGCTCACTTTGTGAGCAGTTCTTGTTGTTGTTAGTGGGGATACCATATATCTAAATAGATATTCTTGTGACATCAGAAAAATGTTCTCCTGACATCAGAATGGTATTCCCCTGACATCAGAACAGCATTTGTATTGTAATTGTGCCAAATTCTCCCATCCAAAATCTTGATATACTTTGAAGAACATCCTACTACTATTTTCAAGAATATCATTTTTATACACCTAGTAGATGACTATACAAGATACATTTCAGGCTTATTATAAGCCACAATTAATTATGCAAGATAATGTCTATTATCATTAAATCACTTGTAGCATCATACCAAATATGTCCCTAGTGAAATCATTAAGTTACTTGAACATGTACAACTTGCAAGGCTTGATATACCAAAATACAGTATGGCTTTCACTATTTATTCAAAGAACTTTGAAATTGGAAAAAATTTGCAAAATAATCTCCGTATGTTAAAAATCTCCAATAATACTTTTGTTTTGTATTACGTGTACATTCAATCTTACACATAAACCCCAAAAGGCTCTGGGGTCATGTGCTAGACTACATATCATCTTACCAAAGAAGTCTATTTATGAATGTAGAATTACATTGTGACTGTGACGCTTGGGACTGGATTGTGTTCAGAACATGCATCGTTTTCTATGTTTGTATAAACTCTGTATGCATGATTACAGATCTTTATCTTCAATTGTTATGACATAGATGTGACCATTGATAACATCAACCAACTTACTCATGATAGCTATTTAGTCTTAGTCACCCTTTTGAATTAAGTAAATGGGATAGACATAAATAATAAGACGAGAGTTTATAGCGAAACATTCTCACAATTTTACATTCTTTTTTGTTCTCATCAATCCATTCAAAATCTCCATCATTTCTAACTTTATTTGAAGATCATCCTTGGATAATTTAGGTTATCTGGCAACCATACATTATCTGTCTCATATTACTTTCTTAACATTCAGAGGGTGAGCATATGTCTCATGTTGACTTAATTCTTTAATTATTTCACTCTTCAATTCCATTTTACTATGTAAAGGGGCAATAAGAATTGAGAGTACTTTTCTAAAAGAATTCAATAATTTAGAAACTGTACATGTGTCCTTTTTTAATTCCAATGAATTTGAATATTTCTGCTTTTTAAATCTTCAATAAGTTCTATATTTGATCACAGATCTCAATTCTTTTTTATTTAGATATCAAAACTAGGAACTGTAGAGGAAAAGTTTGAAATTATTGCCGCTCACATTTTACACTCTAAGAATATTTTTTGATGCCCCTTTAACTAACAATACTGACACTTTACATATACTTGTACTTCTTGATACAGTGACTGTCTCTGTCTGCTACAAGGACATGGCCATCGTTGGTGACGGAAATTCCCCTGGCATGATTCAATGGCATGCCCTGGCTGTCGATTATGCTCACAAAAGTGCCATCCATCTTGAAAACCTGGATTCTTTTGTTGCCGCTATCTGCAACCAGAATGTGGTTTGAATCTGTGGTTACTCCAAATGGTTGTCGGAATTGCCCTTTTCCTGTACCATAAGTGCCGAATTCAAACAGAAACTCCCCAGTATCATCAAATATTTGGATTCGATGATTGTCAGTGTCTGTTACGATGATGTAATCATGTGGTCCCGTGCACATGAATGCTGGGTGATTGAACTGGCCTGATTGTGCCCCGTATTTGCCGATTTTCTTCACATGGGTTCCATTTCCATTGTACATGAACAAGGAGTTGACAATATAGTCTGAGATAATGACTCCTCCCTTGCTGTTGCATGCTACACACAATGCACATTTCAATGTCTTATTTGTATGTTCATGCTTTAAATGTCCATCTGAAGTATATACTTTGACTGTATTACCCGAACTTGGGCTCGACCCATATGCAAAAATCTCTGTACAGATAATTAGGTTTGATTTTTGGTCAATGGCGAGATCACATGTCGAGTTATTTTCACCATCAGATGTAACCGTGAACTGACTTAGAAAGTTGCCATCTGGGCTGAATTTCTGTATGCGGCAGTTTCCAGTGTCAGCCACGTAAATATTGTCATCGTTGCCAATGGCGACAGCTCGTGGACAAAGAAATTCTCCATCTTCTGATCCTTTTTGACCAATCAGAGCCACAGGATTGTTACTACTGACACTGATAACACTTTCAGCTCCCTTTATGATATAACCAAGGAATTTGACATCGATACGATGATCTCCACTAACCTGCGGTTTATATGTGACATTATATGTCCCATTGTCATTTTCGAGTGTTGACGTTTCTATGCTGTCTCCCCAGGGATCAGTGATATCAGCTGTGATGGCGTATTTTGGCAGGGGCGTGTTCTTACAGTCATAGACACTTACTGTCGCTTGGGATGGCAACCCGGCAGTGGCAGGATGAGCGGAAATTTCCACTATGGATGGCAATGATTTTTCACTTAGGAGTACCCCCAGTTTATTTAGGGCATTTTGGAAACCATACACACCCTGTTGCGAATCAAACTGGATATAATTCTTTGTTGGCACTCGATGGCTGGACATAAGTTTTTCGATATGCTTAGTAGTGTCCGAAATCTTGGACCGTTTTATGATCAAATCTGATATTCCCGTCGTTGCAGGATTATAGCTCGGGACATTTTCTTTATTGTCTGTGTCAAGTGTTGAGTCATCTGTTGTTGATTCTGTTGGCATGTTATCTAGTGTAGTGTTCAGGTTTATAATCTTCTCTTGGATGTCTTCAGCATGTCTCTGTAGAATCAGGACCTTGTCGTTGTACATGGCATTCACATCTAAAAACAACTTCTGCTTACGTGTTTCCAAGAGTGTTATGTATTGGGTGAATGCTGAGTCGATATCCTTTATGGCTGCTTCTTTGGCCCCGTAAAGATTGGTCACTTCTCCCTCGAGAGTTTGGATATAACACTCTACTGTTTTCATAATAGTCCGAGCATTGTTCACTTCTGACGTTAAAGTGTTGTGTAATTCGTTGAGAGCATCCCATGTGTCTTGAACTGCATGGCCATCAACTTCTTTATGGTCGAGTACTGTGCAATCACGGCAGATTGCAATGTTGCATTGCTTGCAGAAAAATGATAGCGGTTGATTTGAATGTTTTATACAGCCTTCTCCTGATTGGACGATCATTGGTTGATCCACGGTGTTGTTGATAAGCACGTCACGCATGTACGTAATGTAGAAATTAGTCTGAAGACTACTCACACCACCAGATGGCATTGTAGTCATTTGACGGCATGTCGGGCACTCAAAGTAATCCTTTGTGCCGATAAGTTTATGAAGACATGATTCACAGAAAGAATGATGGCACAAAAGAAGTTTTGGAATATGTTGCACATTGTCGTACATTTCTAAGCAGACATCGCACATCAGGAGCGAATGTTCTGTCGAGCTTTTGCGTTTGGCTCGTGGGGATGTTGGAGATGGCGGCAAACTACCCTGTTCCATGGAGGATGCAGGGGGTGCAGTAGGCATGATGGGAGCTGTGGGTGTGACTGGAGTACCTTCAGCCATCACGATCTAGCAGCTATATACATAACTGGAAATATAGAACAAAATGAATTTATAATTAAATACATGTACATGTATAAGGCAAATGTAAGGTTTAATCCAGGGTAACATCCTTCCCTGATATTCAGTAAGAACATACTGAACTGTACGTATATCTCTACCATATATTACATAATTTCCTACCATTTGATAATATTTCTCAGTAAGAATAGAATTATGATTTGGCTTAATTAGATCCAATTCCTGTTAATAATTCCTTTGGACTGGAGCTCAGACATGACACTCTATTATACTTACACGCCGATCTTAACTTAACCCAGCGGTACAATTTCTTTGACCATTCGAATCTTCATTAGATTTTGTTCTATTTCTTTCGTTTCTCAGAAATTTCTATTGAAACATTATTTTTATGTTATATTTCAATCTGTATGTTTTGTTAAATTTTTGTTATATTATATATATATTACCGTTACTCATTTTTTATTCCTTTTTGGATTCAAAATATTTATTGCCCAATTGCCCAATTTTTGTACAAAAATGTTGCGTTGTCCTATCTTAGTTTAAAAGCTTAATTTTATTTTATTTAATAAATGTTCCTGTTTATATGATTAATAAATTATGAAATTGGAAATACCTGTGAATCTAGATTGATCATCCAGTAACTTTCCATAAATATCAAATCATGGGAAATCTACTTAATTCTTAGTCAGGCAATTCTCAATTCCACGTTGCTGCATATCAACTGTTATGCCTTCATGGGTGGTTATTAGATCATTTTAGTAGGTTTTTTGGTGACTAAGTAAGTCACTGGCATATCTCCAGTTGAAATTTGAGAAATGTAATATTATTCAAGTTAACGTTACCTATTATATGTACTAAATTGGGGGGAACAAACAATGAAGCGTTTAATACATGTAAAAGGTTAATTCAATGTTAAAGTGGAACTAAAGAAAATATATATGTCAAATTGAAAACACTTTAAAATAATAAAGTGATAGCATTAAACCAGGCTTTTAAACAAATTGAAATAGCTAATAGACTTTAGGAGGAGTGTTGTATTTCTTATTTATTCAAGCAGTTCGCTTTATATTTTTGTGGTTAAAAAATGTCGTTGAATTGCCAATTGTGTGTTTGTCATCACTTATTTCAGTTGACAAATGTCAACCTCTGATTCTTTAAGTTGAAGGCCTTGTTTGAGTTTCACTTTTAGAACTGTGACAATGACCTTGGCATTGTGCGTTTTAACAATTTCTGTTTTAACAATGTGTGTTTAGATTTTTGGAATGTGTGACAGTTAACTGTTGTGATTAAGGTAGTCCTAACTGATGAAAATTGGATAACTTCCTTGTATCGAGTTTTTATACATATTAAATGACATATGTTCTGACTTGGCCCAACTTAAGTCTTAGTTTACTGATCAGAGTAAGCATATAGATCAATCTCTTCAGTATCTTATTCCACATACTGTATCACATGGATTTCACTTTTGTGTAAATCTTTTTTATGGTTGTTCAAATATGTGATCTATACTCATGTTTAATCTTTCAGGGCTCTACTGTTCAAATTACTAGAACATGGGATCACCTGAATTAATTCAAACATACCTTTCTTGGACCAATGCTCTATATACTCAACTGTCTAGTATAATCTTTATAATCTATAGAGTAACCTAAATTTCATTAAATTTTTAGTCTGTGTTGGTCATCTCATATTTCAGTTAACAAATATCAATCTATCAAGAGTCATTGACTTTGTTTGAGTTCCATTTTAAGAACTGTAACAATGACCTTGGCTTTGTGTGTTTTAACAATGTGTGTTTAGTTTTTTGGAATGTGTGTTTAACACAGTTTACTGTTGTGATTAAAGTAGCCCTAACCAATGAATAATTGGATAATTTCCTTGTACATTTTATATATTTTGGATGACATATGTTCTGACTTGGCCCAACAATGTTTCTTTTGTTCACAGATCAGATATAGTCATGGCGATCAAGCTCTTCAGTGTCTTTATTCCACTTATCACCCGAATTACTCTTTTATATTGTAGGTATAGTAGTGGCCTTCTTAGTTTGTGATTGTTCAAATATGTGATCTGTATACACAATCTTTCAGGGCTCTACTGTTAAACTATAGATCAGGAGTTCTACTGTTAAACTATAGATCAAGAGATCTTGTGAGTTAATTCAATTAAAAAACTTTCTTGGACTGAATGTTGAAGAAACATATTTTTGTTTTGGATTAGATACAGCAAATATTACATGTCTTTACATTGTATACTGAACCCCCCCCCCTTCCTTATAATCATACTCAACCGTATGCTGTATAATCTTTGTAATCTATAGACTAACCTGTAAAGAGGGGAGGGTGACTTAACCCTGTCTTATATATTAACTGTGAATGAAGATGTAATTAAAGACAGGTGGTTACCTCTTGGTGAATCCATAATATCAGGGACTCAAGTTCGTGAGAAAATGTACTTATCTTTTGTAAACATTTTCAAATTAGAAATGGCAGATTAACAAGCTATCTTTCAACAGAACACAGTGTCTGCGAATGTGATCTGTTATTTACCCATGTAGTTGTTTTCTTAAAGGATACCACATCTTGATCAACATTTATAAATCTGAAATTATTGACATTTCATAATCATTATGATTTTTAAGTGTATGAGTGGCCTAGAGTGGTACAATCTACCTGATGATTATATAATTATGGTAATTTATCATATAGTTCTTAGTTATGTAAACATATAAAAATTAATGTTTATTTAAAAATTTCATCGCAATCTTATTTATCATGACAAATCAGACTTCAATTAACCTTCCCCAAAAAGATGTGCAACTTGCATGCATTCTCGAACAATCATCTGTACACTTTCATACATTCAGTATAGGGTCATACATTTATCATGCACTTAGTCTCGTACATTTGACATAATTTTATGATGTAATAATACACACCGATGTGTTCTATGCATGTCTCCTTCACCAAAGGTTTTCAAAATTCTCAAAATACTTTATCACCAATTCTTATCTTATCAGATATGGACCTACCCTGCTCTATATCTGATGGCCATACCACCCTCTGAAAATTACAGATATTTTTATGGTTGTGATGCTGAATTTTACCATTCTCAAATGTAGTTTTAGTGAACGTTAAAATGTCTTTGTCAGGATTTATTTACTTCACATAAGATTATGATTAGGATTAGATTAAGGCTAGATTAAAGAGATATCTCTTATTTAAAGAGTTGTATTAAGTCTAGCTCTCACAAAGGGTTGTATTGACCATTTACTAAATTGTATTATATGATGTATTAAATGGTTTACCCTGTCAAACTAAACTGATATTGATCTCTGCTAAGTTCCACTAGATAATCTGATAATTATTTGCAGAGAATTTTAGATTTTTATTTCTTCATGTAGAATATGTAGCCACTGGATTACAAAATTATTCTAATTTGTCCTAAATAACAATTCCTTGGAAGCCCACAATACGAGGTTTGTCCCAGAAGTAATGCACTAGTATACATATTTGACATGGCCAAAGTCAGTTGAACACTGATCAAATTATTTTGATGATACAGGGGGTGGAGTTTTAGATGAGCCTTTAAATCATTAAATCACATTTAAAGGCTTCATTATAAGATTTTGTGATTAGTTTAATCTTAAGATTGTATATTTCCAAATTGAATTTCATATTTCATGTAGCAAATAAGAAAAATTTATCATGAAAAATTGACTTATTCCAATTTTGTATAATGTGAAATATAAATGATAATATAGAATATTGCAAACTATGGATGTTTCAAGTAACTACTGCAAGGATCAAAATTTGTTTTAAATTTTTTTGCTTATTTCTGTTCAGAGATAATAAAAGCAGATAGTATTAAGCACTTTTCATAAAGGTAATTTGGTCCCTCCAGGTACATTAGTACTTTAAATCAGAATAATTATCTATATCCCTGTAAACCAGGACACATGTGAAGATGATGGACATATTGCATGTTTCATTTGATCTGATGGGGAGTTTCTTAAAAGCCTGTTTTACATCAAATGGCACATCATTGTAATCCAACAGTGAGTTAAATTAGCAAATATCCACCAGGATGTGTAGCGTAATTATACATCATAATGTTATACTTGTATTTATATTTTGAAAAAAGAAACTCACAAATTAAAATAACAAATATTCTCATCTTCAAAAATAAAACTGTTAGGATTAGGATTTCAAAATCTATTCATTCTTTTCTATATCTCCCCTTTGGTACAGTTAGACCTACGTATGCGAATGCTTTACTTTGTAAATGTTACAAAATGTGAACTTTATGGAACACATGCAGTGTTCCTTCTAGGATTTTTCTAAGTTGAGACTATTTTTGATATTTTGTAAAATACTGAATAAAGCTGGCTAAAATATTCCGATATTTAATAATTTTCCTCATTTTCAAGTGGTTGCAAATGATTTCTCAGGTGTGTTCAAGTTTATTTCCTATTAATATTTGGATCAATCCTTGACCACTGTCATGCTATAATCACCTCTCAATATGAGCACTTCTTAATAAGAACACTCCTAAAGACTGAACATTGTGCTCACTTTAGATAAATTTTACTGTCTTTTCTTAATTAGAGCCTCCAGACGTAACAATGGTTCATAAATTATCAGAGACAGCTATCTCATTAGTTTTCCGTGTAGTATTGTTCATTTATCTTCGAGAAGTTACCAATTTAGAATATAAATTGGTCTGGGATTAAATAATATAGTGAAGGGCAATATATCAGAGTTGCAAAATCAGATATATTACATATAAGTATGACATGACATGACATGACGTCTTTGACACATTGAAAGACATGGACAAGACACAATCTTAATATCAAGAAATATAGGGTATACTCAGCTTGAGACTTTAGATTCATCCTGTGACACATTGTCACCAAAATGTAACATCACTATATCAGCTTAAATGCATACGAACTGAAACATCAACAAATCCTAATGACTTACCAATCCTAATCTGTAACATAGCAGTTCTAACCCCCCTATCACACCAAACTAGTTCTTACCCGTTCTTGCCAGTCCTACGAAAACGTCGTAAAACGGGCTTAATCTGGCTGTG